TTAACTTCCTTTTGACATACCACCCAACTTCTGTGGGTGACCTCCCAGAAGCCTGGAAAAGGGCAGTTCTGTCTGTTCTTTGCAGAGCTTCTATGACAAACACAGCTTACTATTTATGAGAAATTGAGAAGACAGAGCCCTTTATGTCTTAGGAAATCATTTCTAGAAATGGCATGTTGTATTTCTCTTTTTCCTAGGCAGAGAATATCTCTTCCCGTCAGTTTACCAGAAAAGAAAGAGGGAAAATAATTACCTCTTCTTCTTCCATTAGGAGCATGATTTGGTTATTTTTTTAAAAATCTAGACTTGAATATTATGCCTTAGGAAACCTTGAAGAATTAAGAAAAAAAAATGTGAATAAGTCAAGGAAAGAATTCAATTATAAGCATATTTGAATCACTAATTAGTTCTTCTCCTCCCCATTTTCCTGGGCAGTGAGTGTTGGTGCTGAGTTGCTCACACTTGCCTTTCTTATTATGTAGATACAGCTGAGTGACTTTAAAACTACCAAGACTCTAAAACTACCAACTGTATAAGAAATACACTTTGAAAACACCAGACCTGATGTTTTCCCAAAGGGGAAATTCTGAATATATTTTGTAGTAATAAACCAAAGTTGTAAGATAATAACATCCTTCAGTTATAGCTATAGCGAGAAAGGGATAAGAAATCGAACAGGGAAAAACCATCAATTATGATCCCAACTCTGCAGTGGATAAACTTCACTTGGCTGTAGGCTGGTCTGGTCAAGAGCTGTGGCTAGCTCCCAGAATCTCCATCTGCAGTCTGAGAGGGTCTGAGTATCCCCAGGATAACAAGATGATGCTGATCAGCAATATTTATTGCACACCATTAAGCAGCCTTTGCTTTTTTTTTTCTTTCTTTCTCTTCTCTTTTCTTTTCAACTTCTAGCCCAGGGTAAACTTACCCGGAGCTGTAGCTGTCCTTGATATGGTGGCTGACATAATGCTCTGCTCTTGCACCTCTCAGAAGCTACACCTCAAAATCAAATTGAATTTTTTTATGTACTCATGCCCAGGCCCCACACTTAAATATTCTTTTTTTAAAAAATTTATTTATTTATGATTATTTTTAAATATTCTTAGCTGAGTCTACAGTGGGGTCTGGGCATCCAAACTTTTTAAACTCCTCAAATAATCCTGACATATGTTGCGGTGCTGAGAATTAGCCCATCATGGTGGGCACAGTGGCAATGTCACAAGGACAGAGAGCCACTGTAAGTTATCCCAACCTATGCCTGTTCAGGGCATAGATTGTCCCAGCTCCCTATTTATGCCACAACACTGACAGCTTGGCTCTCTTCCCTCATTCACTTGGGCAACTTCACACTTGTCCTCTCCCTTCTCCTGTCTTCACTGTCCACTCTTGTCTTCCTTTTGGGCCACCAGAAATTAAATCAGCTACAGGCCCTAGGAAGGTTTCTATGCTTCTCTGCTGAGTTTGCCTTCTCATATACTGAAGATTGGGCTAAGTCACTGGATAAATGAACAAATAATTGGTAGCCTGTTGGGTAGAGTTCATATTTTTCCAACAATAGCAGGGTGAATAGGGACCACATGCTGCTAAGTGCCATCTTTTATTTCTTTCCTGAACCCTTAACATCATATAGGAAAGCATCGGTTTAAAAATCCATTCTTTTCAATTCTATTTAGTAATCAAGAGTTAAAAGAATATGCTTCTCTCCTAGGTTAAAAAAAAGATTGAGATTATGCAATGCCTCACAGATATACTTCCAGTGTGGACATAGTTACATCCAGTCCCACTCTCTCTCTGTTGGACACATAGTAACACACGAATGCCAGACAGGCACACGGTCATAAGTCTTTTTATAGTAAAACTGCTTTATAAGATCTTGAAGAAATAGTAGCACTTTTTAGAAAACAGTTTCTGGTATACTGTTTTAGAAAACAGTTTTGATAATGTAATTTGTTACACATTTATTTTATGCAAATTTTAGTATCATTCTGTTGAGTTTTTTAAAAAAATAGAACCATAAGAGTTCTGAATAGAAATCTATACATAATATATATATGAAAATATTCATATTTTTATGCTATTAAATATTTATATCCAAGAACATGCGCTCTTTCTCTTTCTTAAGATCTTATTTTATGTTCTTCAGTAAAGTGTTATATTATCTTCTTAAAGGTCTTGTACCTTTCTTGATAAATTCTTTTCTAGGTATTTTTTAACAGCTTTAATGAGGCATAATTTACCTTATAGAGTTATGCAACCATCCCCATAAATCAGTCTCAGGACTTGTCCATTATCCCCAAAAGTCCCTTCATGACCTTTTGCAGCTAACTTCCACTTCCACCCAGAGCCCTAGGCAACCATAAATCTTTCCAAGTCTAATGATTTGTCTTTTCTGGACATACACTATAAATAGCATCATGTAATAGATAATCTTGTGTATCTGGCTTCTTTCAGTTAGCATGATGTTTCTAAGGTTCATCTGCATTGTAGCATGTGTCAGTAGTCGCTGAGTAGTATTCCATTGTATGGCTATATCACATTTACTTTATTCATCAGTTGATGGATATTCAGATTGTGTCCAGTTTTGAGCTATTATGAATAATACTTCTACGAATACTCATATAGCAGTTTTATATGGATATATGTTTTCATTTCTCTTGGATAGATTCCTAAGAATGAAATTGCTGGGTTGAATGAAAAGTTTATGTTTATCTTTTCAAGAAACTGCCAAACTTTTTCTGAAGTAGATGTACTGTTTTACATTCTCACAAGCAATGTATGAGGGTTCCAGTTACTCCACATCATAATCAACATTTGATATTGATGTCATTTTGATTGTAGTCATTCTAGTGGGTCTATATTATTTATCTATAGCTGCATAACAAATTACTCCCAAAATTTAGCTCCTTAAAATCAAACATTTATTAAAATCTTATAGTTTCGGTGGGTCAGGAATCTGGGTGTAGTTAGCTAGGTCCTCTGGTTTAGGATTTCACATAAGGTTACATTCAGGGCTTTGTGAGGACTGTATTCATCTCAGTGGGTGAATGGGAGAGAATCTGCTTCCAAGCTCACTTAAATGGGTATTAATTAGTAGGAGTCAGTTCCTTACAGTCTCTTGAGCTGAGGGCCTCAGTTCCTCGCGGGCTGTTGGCTGAACGTCTCCTTCAGTCCTTTGCCTCATGGGTTTCACCAAAGGGCAGCTCACACGTGGTAGCTGGCTTCTATCAGAGTGTGGAAGTGAGAGAGCGAGATAGGGAGAGCAAGACCCAACCCAGAGTCTTTTTATAACTTAATCTCATTATATCGTTAAGAGGCTGCTTACACATTCATTGTGATTTTAATTGGTATTTCTCTAATGACTAATGATGTCTTGTCACATGCTTATTAGCCATTTGTAAAGCCTCTTTGGTGAAATAGCCACTCAAGTTTTGCCCATTTAAAAAATTGGGTTGTTTGCTTTTTTATTATTGAGTCATCAGACTTCTTTATATATTCTAGATACAAATTCTTTATTAGATATTTGATTTGCAAATTGTATTAGTTTTCTATTACTTTGATAAATTACCACAAGCTTAGCAGTTTAAATAACACAAACTTGTTATCTTACTAATCGATAAGTCAGAAATCTGATAGGGGTTCTCGCAAGGCTAAAATTCAAGTGTTAGGAGCTGCACTCCTTTCTGGAGGCTCTAGGGCAGCATCCTTCACCTGCTTACTCCAGTTGAGGGCAGAATTCAATACCTTGTGTTGTAAGACTTAGGTCCCCATGTTCTCACTGGTCGTAAACAGAGGGCCATTCCTAGCTTCTAGAGGCCACTACATTCTTTGGTTCTTGGCCCATTCCTCCGACTTCAAAGCCACATCATCACCAATAGGTTGAGTCTTTTTCCATGTTCTGTCTCTCTGACCCTTCCTCATCAAATCTCTTTCTCACTAAAGCTTGGAAAGGTTCTCCTATTTTAAAGACTCATATAATTAATTAGATTGGGCCAACCTCAACAACACAGGGTAATCTCCTCATCTCAAGATCTTTAACCTTAATCACAAATGTAAAGTACCTTTGCCATGTATGGTAATAAATTTACAGGTTCTGAGGATGAGGAACTGCACATTGGGGTTTGGGGAAAGGGCAAAATATTTTTTCCCAGTCTATGGCTTATCATTTTATTTTCTTAACAGTGTTCTTTAAAATATAGAAGTTTTTAATTTTGATGTAGTCCAGTTTATTGATTTATTTTTCTTTCATGGATCATGCTAAAAACACTTTGCCTAACCCAAGGTCACAAAGGTTTTTCTTATGTTTTCTTCTAGAAATTTTTATAGTTTTAGCTCTTGAATTTAGATTCATGATCCATTTTGAGTTCATTTTTGTATATAGTGCCAGATAAGGATCTAAGCTTATTTATTTGCTTTTGCATGTAGATATCAAGTTGTCTCAGCAGCATTTGTTGAAAAAAACTTCTTTTCTCTCTCATTGAATTGTTTCGGCATCTGTGTTGAAAATCAGTTGGCCATAATTTTAAGGATTTATTTCTAAACTCTCAATTCTCTTTCATTGATTTTATGTCTATCCTTGATGAATATCACACTTTCTTTTCCAGGTATTTTTAAGTTTTTTTGGGTTACTACTAGGAATGTAGTTAAAATCATTTGAATCTAAAATATTATTAACTCAGAACTGTTTTCCTTAAACTGACTGACAGATTAATATTCAATCTATTATAAAATTATCTTGACGTTGGAATAAAAGGAAAATGCTGCTTTTATGCCAGAATTAGATAACTTGAAATTGCTTTGGATCTATTAAATTTTTATGGAACTAAGCTGCAAAGATGTCAGAGGCTTTGGTATTGGTGTTACATTAAAAATCTTAATGAATAGTATTTAATTTTCTACTTTGAATTTAAACAGATTATTGTTGTTATTATTATTATTTACACACTTTCCCTCAGTATGAGTAACATTTCCAAAGATTTGATTTTCTTTCTTATTTACTTCAGATCAACCTCTAGAATCCCGTAGACTCTGCAACAAGCCAGTTCAGAGCTTGCCCAACATGGATTCTATTTTCAGCGAAGCTCTTCTGAAGATGAGGAAAGAGCACCCTGGCTGCCTTTCTCAGGAGGCTTGTGTCCGTGCAGTCCAGGCTGCCACACAGTATCCCTATGAAGTGGGCATCAAGAAGGAGGAGGAACTGTTAATGTACCTTTGGAAATCAGAGCAGGCGAGAGCCCTGCGATATGTTTTCCTGGCGGAGAGGAAAGTAAATAAGTGGTCAGTTCCCTCTGGAGCATCCTGGAAAACAGCTTCTGCACGGCCCATCTCCTCAGTTGGTGTTCTCGGTACGTGTAAAGGTGCTACTACCACTTTCTTAGGGCCACCAGGTGCCAGTTTCTATACTAAATATATTACATATGTTAGCTTACTTAATTTTCACCCCAGCCCATGAACTATCTTCATTTTATGTGTGAGGCCTACAGATATTAACCTTTTCAACAAGGAGCTAAACACAAGTGATATAAGAGCCTGACGCTAGATCTGTCTGAATCCAGACTCTGGTCATTTTTCATTCATCCCAACCTCTTCCCTATATGAATCTCTCACTCTTGGATTTCCCAACGATGATTACTATTAGTACCATGTCTCAAGATGTGACCTGTCACTCTATAGCTAGGTTTTGGAATGAAGTCTCTGTCTTTCTGGTCTCTGGAACCATTCACTTCTCCTGATTCAAAACCACTGTCCTCAAATCCAACTGGACCTTGAAACAGTCTTCTTTCCTCAGAAGCTCGCTCTCTGATTGGCTTCTTTGGGTCACTTTTCTAAGCTTCACTTGCTCTTAGTCTTGGCTCAGGAATGGTCTTTAGTGGATTTTAAACCCTGTGAGATGGGAAATAAAATGTTATATGTTTCAGTTCAATGTCGATCCTCTTTGGGAAGAGGTTCATAGTTTACTAAAAGCATCAACTTTCTTAACCTTCCCCCAGCTCTCTAGCACCCAATTTGGAGGGAAAATGCCCACTCTGCTTCTTTTTAGTCTGTTACCTCAGTCAAGTTTTGGTATAAAACAGCATGTCTTTAATACAAATACACAGTGCTTTTTTCCAACACTGACTGCTCACTTTTGGTTTTTTAAGGAGGTGGATAAATAGAACTATGAGTCTTCCTTTTTTTTTTTTGTATTCTTTCAGCAACACCAATATTTGTTTATAGTTGTATACTTACTTGTTTATTCTTTCCTATATTCTTTCAAGCCAAGAATAATTAATGCAAAATAATTGCAAAACTTAAGTTTATCAGTAGCGCTTATTAATCATTGTTTGAGAGTTTCCCTATTTCTTTTTTTGTGAGCCTTTTAAAAAGACTTCAAGTTTGTCTGGCATGGAATGTTTAAAAGTTTGAAGTTTTTTTTTTTAAAGTGTACCCCACATTGTTCTGAAAAATACTCGAAAAATATTTTAAATATTTTAAATATGCAAAAAAGATAAAAATTAACTGAGAATTTCTCCCTTATTAATGTTTATCCCCATACTGGTCTACATCTCATCTTTGTGATATAGTCTTCCACTGTGCCCTGTGTCCTCTGGAACTTTATTACAACCTCATCTGCTTCACTAATGGCTCCCTACTCTGTCTTCTGCCTGAAACCTGGCTTAACCTGGGCACCTGCTTCTCCTGCAGCCCTCTCGAGAGAATGGTACTGCTTCTTCCACACTCCACGGACCCCAGTGTCACTTCCCAATTCCTTTCTCATACTATGAGTCCTTGTAGGACACTCTCCTTTGTAGTTCTGCCATCTGGTCTTATCTCTCTATCCCTCTTCATTACTGTCATTACTTCCTCTCATTTCCTGAAAATTTTGGTACCTGGCCCACAGTTATCCACTTTGGCCCAAATCCTGCTGCCATCCTAATTGTCTTCATCATCTGCATGGATGGTTTATCAAGCCCTGTTGCTTTGGGTTCCTTTGCATCTTCCAGTGGCATTCACCTCACTTCACTTCCACCACCCACATTTATGGCCTCACTATAGGTCTTGTCTTCACCATGAACATTTATCCACCTCTGATATTTGAAATCGCACCTTTTCACCCCAACCTTGTATCTTTTTATATCTCTTAGTTGGTTATTCTAACTACATCCATAACTTCAGCAGCAACCCTTACCTTTACTTTCTTCTCTATTCAGCTTTAATTTCTAGAGTCATTTCTTCAGCCACTCTCTTGCCGATGCCCTCAAAATTCACAATTCATTGCCCTTCTTCTGTGCCCCCTGACAAAACCGCCAACCCTGATAATTCCAACTCTGCACTTCTGTGAGCTCATGCCCGGGCTTCTCAGGTCAGATGGGCAATCAGGAGGGGAGAAGGCTGCAGTTGACCAAAAAGTACAGAACCATTAGTTAAAGAACCCCTTAGTCTTTATTTGCTTCTCTCAGTAGAAGTTTCTGACCAAATTTAATTCCAAGGCAGTTAAAGGCAGTAATTTGGTAGGGGAGCAGGACTCCTTGCTCCTGTCTATATGAGGAAAAATTAGGAAACTAAATTCAGTATAAATACAGTATGTACCTAGGAAAACATAATAACCAACAGTGAAAAGCTTGGACCTTTAGCCCTTTATTTTGAGACCACAAAGTTGTGAGAAGAGAAGTTAGGAGTTAAGGACTTTTTGAAAGAAATGTGTATAGTTGGCCCTTAAACAACACAGGGCTTAGGGACACCAAGCCCCTGAGCAGTCAAAAATTCATGTAAAGCTTTTGACTCCTCCCAAAACTTAACTGCTAGTAGCCTACTGTTGACCAGAAACTTTACTGATAACATAAGCAGTCAATTAACACATATTTTCTATGTTACATGTATTCTATACTATATTCTTACAATAAGGTAAGCTAGAGAAAATATTATTAAGAAAATCATAAGGAAGAGAAAATACATTTACTGCGTTTATTGAACAAAACCCACATATAAGTGGACCTGCACAGTTCAAACTTGTGTTTTCCAGAGTCAATGGTATTATGTTTTCACACATATTTTATCTCTATGATTAAATCAAAAGTGTCATTTTATAGAACTAAACTAAAGAACATCTAAAACTATAGTTAGGACACTTCTAGAAAGCACTAATCTGCTCCACTCTTGTGATAGGGATTATGAGTTGGTTTGTAGCCCCAGTGAACCTTCAACAGACCTGCTCTGAGAGGTGAGCACTGAAGAACTGTACTCTGTCCTCACAAGATGGCTTTCCTTCCCCGCTCTGTTTTCAATTCTGAGATATCACTTACATTATGTTACAGTTTGCAAAGCACCTTCACCTAACTTCTTATTAATACTTATTGTCCCTGTGAGAGCATAACTTCTACAATGTTAGAAATTTTATATGAAGCTTGGGACTGAGAGCTAAGAGGCCAGGATTTTGAACCCACATTCTCCCTCCCTTTTACCCAGGCTAAAATTTAGGATCACAAGTTGGTATAGAAGTGAGAGCTAGTAAGCCTTCCTGTTATTGTGAAAAGCAGATGTTTAGCAAATTTGGAAAACTAAATGTTTTTAATAACTTAATATATTTATTTATTTAATTATGTGTTATACATAATTTTAAATAATTTAAGAAATTCTGAAAATTAAATAATTATATTCCAGAGAAATGAAATTAATGATTTCTGATGACTGATAATATTCTATATTCAAAACCAATCCCCAATATGAATTATGGAAGAGATATATACAAATGGCTTTCACAAAGCTGTTTTTTCCATACTGGTTTGGTTAGGTAACAGATACCCTGCTTCTATAACAGATAATCTCAGTGGCTTAATCTAATAAAGCTTTATTTCCTGGGTGCTCCACTGGGTCATTCTAGGACCAGCTTCTTTCCAGCTAGTGGCTCTGCCATTCCCTTGGACAAGGGTCAGCAAATTTTTTCTGTAAAGTGCGAGGTAGTAAATATTTTAGGCTTTGTGGACCATATGGTCTCTGTCGCAACTACTCAGTCCTGCCACTAAGCACAAACACAGTCATAGACAATACGGAAACAAATTAGCACAGCTGTATTCCAACAGAACTTTACTCATAAACATTGACATTTGAATTTGATATAATTTCATGTGTCATAAAATATTCTTCTTCTTTTGTTTTTTCAACTATTTACAGTGTAAAAATGTTCTTAGTTCACAGGCAATACAGAAATAGGCTGTGGGTGAAATTTGGTCTTTAGGATTTTCTCCAAGCCTCAGAGTTATTCTCTTTGGATAATAATTACGGATCTTGTAGGGGATTTTACGGGTCGATCGTAGATCCCATATCCCCACCCTCCACCATTTTATTGTTCAAAATTAATCACAAGCCCAACCAGGATACAAGTGATGTGGAAATATGGTCTCTAACATGTCCAGGAGGAAAATGAAATGGTATCAGGAAGGAATAGTAACATCTTTGCCATCCAATAATTTTTCTATATTTTTTATTCTTCTTGCCTTTGCTAAAACATTACTCCTTTTCTTTTTCCCTTCTCCGACCTAGATAGTTTAATTTCCCCAATTTCACCTATTTCAAAATGATAGTTTTTCAAATATTTCTTATTGAAGCTTTTCTTGATTTATGCAACCAAATATAATCTCTTTCCTTTGAATCACCAAAGAAATTTAACCTTTCACATCACTTACTTTACCTTATAGGATGAATATTTGGGAACTTTTCTTCCTCCCACCACTATATTCTAAGCTCCCCAAGGACTGATGCTTTTCATGTTTTTTAACGGTTCTATTGAGCTATAACTCATATTCTATAAAATTCGCCCTTTTAAAGAGTACAATTCAATGTAAAATGGTGCAGCTGCTGTAGGAAACAGTATGGAAGTGCCTCAAAAATCGAACTATCGTATGATCTAGCAATTCCATCTCTGGGTATATACTCAAAAGAATTGAGAGTAGAGATTCGAACATATATTTGTGCATCCATGTTCATAGCAGCATCATTCATAATAGTCTAAACGTGGGAACAACCCAAGTGTCCATCAGTGGGTGAATGAATAAACAAAATGTGGTATATACATACAATGGGATATTAGCTTCAAAAAGTTAGGAAATACTGACACATAGTACAACATAGATGAACCTTGAGGATATTATGCGAAGTGAAATAAGCTAGTCACAAAAGAACAAATTCTATATGATTCCACTTATATAAGGTACCCATAGTAGTCAAAATCATAGAGATAGAAAGTGGAATGGCTGTTGACAGTGGCTGGCGGAAGGGAGGAATGGGGAATTGTTTAGTGGGTACAGACTTTCGGTTTTGCAAGGTGAAAAGATAGATGGTGGTGCTGGTTGCACAACAGTGTGAATGTACTTAATGCCACTACACCGTACACTTAAAAATTGTTATGATGGTAAGTTTTATGTTATATGTATTTTACCACAATGAAAAAATTTTTTAAGTACATAGTAACAATGTCACCAAAAAAATGTATGCTTCAGTAAGTTTTTTTTTTAGATATTTACAAAGTCATGCAACCATTGCCACGATCAACTTTAGAACATTTTCATCAGCCCAAAAAGAAAACTCGTACCCACAACCATCATTCCCCATAGCCCTTCTCCCCAGCCCCTGGCAACCACTAACCTACTTTCTGTCTCTCTGAATTTGCTTAATCTGGACATTTCATATAAATGGAATCATACAACATGTAGCCTTTTGTGTCCAGCTTCTTTAACTTAGCATAATATTTTCAAGATACGTCCATATCGTAGCACACATCAGGACTTCATTCCTTTTAATGGCTGAATGATATTCCTGTTTGTATATAGCACATTATGTTTATCCATTCATCAGTTGATGGACATTGGGGTTGTTTCCACCTTTTGGCTATTTTGGCTGTGCAGGTCTGAACATTTATGTACAACTATTGTGTGATCATATGTCTTCAGTTTTCTTGGGGATATATGCACACACACACACATACACACACACACACACACACACACACACACACACACACACACACACACACACACACACACACCCCTACCTACCTACTTACCTAGAGTAGAATCGCTGGATAGTATGGCAACTCCATGTTTAACCTTTGAACCACTTCCAAACTGTTTTTCAGAGCAGCTGCACCTTCTACGATCTGCTAGCAATGTATCAGAGTTCTGATATTTCAACATCCTCACCAGAACTTGTTATTGTTTTTTAAGTTATAGCTAACCTAGTGAGTGTGAAATGGTAGCTTGTTGTGGTTTTGATTTTAATTTCCTTAATAACTCCTGATGTTAGGCATTTCTTTATATGCTGATTGGGTATTTGTATATCTTTTTTGGAGAAATCTTTTTTAGACCCTTTGCCTAATTTTAAATTGACTTGTCTTTTTATTGTTGGGTTGTAAGAGTTCTTTGTATATTCTGATATAAGTCCCTTATCAGATATATGATTTGCAAATATCCCATTCTGTGGGTTCTTTTCAGTTTTTTTATGGTGTCCTTTAGAAAATAAAAGTTTTAGTTTATCTATTTTTTTCTTTTGTTGCTTATGCTTTTCGTGTCACATCTGAAAGATCACTGCCTAATCCAAGGTCATGAGATTTACTCATAAGATTTTTATTGTATTAGCTCTTACTTCAGACTGTTATCCATTTTGAGTTAAGTTTTGCATGTGGTGTGGGGTAGGGGTCCAATGTCATTCCTTTGCATATGGATATCCAGTTGTCCCAGTACCATTTGTTGAAAAGACTATTTTTTCCCCATTGAATTATTTGCAACCCTTGTCAAAAATCGATTAGCCATAAGTGTATGAGTTTATTTTAGGACTCTCAGTTCTATTCTGTTGATCCATGTCTATCCTTATGCCAATACTGCACTGTCTTGAATACTGTTGTTTTGTCATAAATTTTAAAATTTGGAAGGCTAACATGTTTTTAAATATTGTTTTGGTAATTCTAGATTCCTCGTATTTCTATATGAATTTTTGAGTCAGCTTGTTAATTTCTACAAAAAAAAACAGTTGGATTTTTGATAAGGATTGCATTAGATCTGCAGGTCAATTTGGGTAGCATTACTATCTTAACAATATTAAACCTTCTGATTCATGAACATAGGGTTCTGTCCATTTATTTAAGTCTTCTTTAATTTCTTTCAGTAATGTTTTCTGGGTTTTAGTGTACAGGCTTGCAATTCTTCATAAAATTCTGAAGTGTTTTATCCTTTTTAATGCTATTGTAAGGAGAATTACCTTAATTTCATATTTAGATTGCCTATTGCTAGTATGTAGAAATATAATTGATTTTTCTGGCAACTTTGCTGCACTTGTTTATTAATTCTAATAATGTGTGTGTGAATCCAACTCATTGTTATATCCTCTAGAGCAGCAGTCTCCAACCTTTGTGGCACCAGGGACTGCTGCTCCTATGAAAATCTAATGCCTGATGATCTGAGGTGGAGCTGAGGTGGTGATGCTAGCCCTGGGGATCGGCTGCAAATACAGATGAAGCTTTGCTCATTCACTCACCCACTGCTCACCTGCTGTGTGGCCCGCTCCTTAACAGGCCAGGGACTGGTACCGCTCCTTAACAGGCCAGGGACTGGTACAGCCCTGGGGTTTGGAACCTCTGTTCTAGAGCACTTAGCACAGTGTCTAGCCTTAACTAGTATTTGATCCATTTATATTATTTGAATTGTTCTCTTTAAATGCCACCTTGCCACAGAAGCCTTCCAACCACTGAGTAATTTTCCAGTTCCCAATAGCAGTGAATCATTTTTCTCTCCTTTACTTTTATCTACAGGCTTGGGAATGATGGGTCGAGACATTGTCATTTCTCTTGCAAAGGCCAAGATCCCTGTGATTGCTGTAGAATCAGACAAGAAGCAGCTAGAGATTGCAAACGGCATAATAACCTCCATCTTGGAAAAGGAAGGAGCCCAAATGCAGCAGAGTGGGCACCCTTGGTCAGGACCAAAACCCAGGTTAACTACATCTATGAAGGAACTTGGCAGTGTAGATTTAGTCATTGAAGCAGTTTTTGAGGAAATGAAGCTGAAGAAGCAGGTCTTTGCTGAACTGTCAGCTGTGTGCAAGCCAGAAACTTTTTTGTGCACCAGTACATCACACCTGGATATTGATGAGATTGCCTCTTCCACTAATCGTCCTCACTTAGTTATTGGCACCCATTTCTTCATACCTACTCATGTCATGAAGTTGTTAGAAGTTATTCCCAGTCGATACTCTTCCCCTACTACCATTTCTACTGCTATGAGCTTATCAAAAAAGTTGAAAAGAATTGGAGTAGTTGTAGGCAACTGTTTTGGATTTGTTGGGAATCGAATGCTTAAATCTTATTTCGATCAGACATATTTCTTGTTAGAAGATGGCAGTAAGCCAGAGGAGATAGATCAGGTGATGGAAGACTTTGGTTTTAAAATGGGACCTTTTAGAATGTCTGATGTTTCTGGATTAGATGTGGGTTGGAAATCTCAAAAAGAGCAAGGTCTTATTGGACCTACGTTGCCTCCAGGAACTCCTGCCCGAAAGCGTGGCAACACAAGGTATTGCCCAATTCCTGATAGGCTGTGCGAACTAGGACGATTTGGTCTAAAGACAGGTAAGGGTTGGTACCAATATGACAAGCCATTAGGTAGCATTTACAAACCTGATCCCTGGATTTCCAAATTTCTGTCAGAATACAGAGAAACCTACCACATTAAACCACGTATCATTAGCCGGGATGAGATCCTCGAGCGCTGCTTATATTCACTCATCAATGAAGCATTCCGTATCTTGGCAGATGGGATAGCTGCTAGTCCAGAGCACATTGATGTTATCTATATACATGGGTATGGGTGGCCAAGACACAAGGGTGGGCCCATGTTCTATGCTTCCACAGTTGGGTTGCCCACAGTGCTAGAGAAGTTGCAGAAATATTACAGGCAGAATCCTGATATTCCCCAACTGGAGCCTTGTGACTATCTGAAAAAAATTGGCTTTCCTAGGAAATCCTCCTTTGGAAGAATGGCAAGACACTTGGCAAGACCCTTCAGTAGTAATTTGTGATTCAGCCTTCCAGATGATGCCTTACTGCTAGCATCAAGTAATGCTCACTGAATTTCATTGACATTAAATCCAAAGATCCATAAGATTGCTCTGAAATACAAACCAAAGGAAATAATTGGTCATCTAAACCTTCTCTTTGGGTCTTCTGTCTCTGATTCTAATGGGTCAAATATTCACTGCCTCTGAATCTGTCCCTATCAGATAAATTATTTCAATCCCAATGTGTAAACTCATGGTAATACCTTCCTTAATAGTTAAGGAGAGAGCCTCAGGAATAAGTTGAGGTTCACAAGTGCTTTTATCATTGGAGAAATGTCAATTAATAACTGATATAAGCAACTAAGTCATGAGTTCATTTTGACTCCCTCCAACCTCACACACATATCACTGACAGGAAATCGTATGGATCCTTCATTCAACAGTCATTGTGCCTCCCCTGAGCATCTTGCACAGCACTTGACAGACCTATATTCCAGACAGGCGTTAATCCAGCATGAATGCCAGTGATGAAGTTCAGTCCATGGTCTTAGAGGCAGACGTGGTAACCAGAAAGAGGAGCAGGGTATCAAATGCAGAACAGAATTGAAATTGTAGGCAAAACATAGTTGGGAATTGGTGAAGGAACCAAGTACTTCAGACCAGAATGGGGCACTCAGAATATCTTGGCAAATTATGCTTAATATATCACTTCTGTCCAAGGCCCAGTCACATGTGCACTGTTGTGCTTGCTGCTTGCAGGAGGCTCAGTAATGTTTGTTGATAATTTCCTTGAGGTCAAGGGATGTCCACAACCTGGTCTTTCTTTACTCTTCTATTCATGGAGAAATAATAGGCAGTAGGAAGAGTTGCCTTAGTGTAAGAAGGGATCTTAGAGAACATCTAACCTCCTCTGATTCTGCGATAATGATGCTAGTTTTCCTATCATGATAAGCATTTGTGATGTTGGCTATGGAAATGGTTGAATCTTGAAAAATCTAAAATTATTGCAAAACAAATCTTGTGTAGTCTTGTTATAAGTCTTCTTCTCTTTTAACTTTTTTCAGTGGTTAAAAGTTCAGGGGTTGGTCAGCACAAACATTTATCCATAGATGTTTATAGCAGAATTATTTATAATAGCCCCAAACTGGAAACAACCTAAATGTCCATTACTGATGCATGGATAAACAAAATGGAATAGCCATACAATAGAATATATGGCCATAAAAAGAGATGAAGTACTGATACATGCTACACAACATGATGAACCTTGAAAATATTACACTAAGTAAAAGACAATCAAAAAAAGGCCACACATTGTATGAACATGAAATGTTCAGTATAGGCAAATCTATAGAGACAGAAATCAGATTAGAGATTGCCTTGGACTGGAATAATTGTGGGAGTGGAATGCAGAGCGACTGCTAATGGATATAAGGTTTCTTTTTGGGTTAATGAAAATGTTCTGGAGTTATTGTGGTGATGGTTATGTGGTGATGGTTATGATGGTTATGTGAATCTACTAAAAACTATTGAGTTGTACACCATAAATGGGTTAATTATATGGTATGTGAATTATTTAAATAAAGTTGTTAATAAATAAGTAAAAAAATAAACGGGCTCAAGTTGTTATCCTTCAGTATGATGTAAATGAACTGTTTTCACAACATTTTTACCTGCGAACCCAAACAAAATTATCAAAAATTCTCATGGAGGAATCTTGAATGAATATAGTGTAAGTTTTTTATTGTAAAAAACAAAACACCCCTAGAGCATGCCTTGAATTGTAGTTCAATTTACAATAATTTTTAAGATGAATATTGCTGGAGTTTATAAAAATTGGTCCTTGAAATTAAAGACATCAATAGAAAAGATCCCTGAAAGTTGTAACTGTCTCCAAAGTGACTTATTTTCAAATTAATGTAAACACACACACACACACACACACACACACACACACACACACACACATTAACTTTCTCTTCTTGAGAACTTGAGTGGATTTTTTTTGAGTTTTTAAAACTCATTTTCTTTCATTCTATACTGTCCTCTAGATTGGGGCTTTGAAACTAGAGTGTCTATGAATAGATCTTATTATTCAATACTCCCTGAAATTTGATGCTAACATTTGTGTATATGTGTCTGAATGCATTTCTTAGAAGAGATACCATATCTTGCATCGTATTTGCAAAAGCATTTATGACCCAGCAAAGGTTAAGGACCAATACTCTATATATAAATGAAATGGTAAGAAGAAATATGAGTTCATTTATTATTTTATATCAAAAGAGGCAAACCTAATTCTAATTTGTTGGGTCCTACATTGAACAATGGTTAATATGATAAAATCTTTCCAAGATATCCTATCCCATCCTCGAAAATGCACTTAGTTAAAGGCTTATTTTGTTGTTGTTATTGTTAAGTTTTAAAACTACGTTTAAAAAAAAGCTTCTGAATGACATCTTAAAAATGTGTTCTAATGGTAATTGACTTTGATGAGAACGATATATATTAGAAGCACTCTCGAAGTTTTGCCGTAATACTCCAGCTTTAAAGATGAGACTAATGATGTTACTTAAAACGGTAAAGCCACTGTGCAGCTGCAGTTGCTATCCATTTATTCATCTCCAGCAGGAACAGGTGTGTGTGACAGCAATAAAGTGAGAGATCCTAAACTCCTCTGATTAATGATGTTACAAAATTGTGTATGCAAATCATACTCCACAGCACTGTAGAAACCTGGTGTTTTTAGGGTCTTACATTAGTCCTTAAAATAGACACCTATAAATCGGAAATATTGCAGGCTCATTGGATTGTCTGAATCTTTTTGGTAGCCATTGATGAAATTAATATAAATCAAGTCTCTAGATTGTGATTAAAAAACAGCTCACTGCAATAACAGAATAGTCTATTCTTGGGACTATCGGTGCCATCTGCTTATCTCATCAGCTTATATATATATTTGAGATTAACAGACAAGTTACACCACTTCCTGGTAGGACAGCAACATTACACAACTCTGAGGGACACCATTCATACTGTGGTACAAGGGATTGCTATTCACATAGAAATAAGGTGAACAGCACTCCCTAGAGTTGTGCAACACCGGCATTGTTTCCAGAGAACTTTGTGTAGAGATTTCAAGCCTAAAACTCTTCTCTTTATTGCTGTAAGTATCTTTTTAAACAAAAGTTAGTTGACAAAAGTAGAGAAAAAGTCTCCATTCAGATTGATGTCCCCAATGGGACCTAATCTTGTCTGTTCTTCTTTTTATATATATTTTTTCTAGCACCTAGAAAAAGAACATGAAAGAGATGCACAGGCTTTTAATTCTCATTCAAAGAATTTCAGGGCACTTCAGTTGTAATTATTTATTTGTTCTCTTTCACCAAATTTAAAATAGCCTGACAGAACAAATACCTGAAAGCATCTGATAAGATGACATAAGCAGAGCTGATACAATCTATCTTGTGTATCTTTTTCATAATTAGGGTTATTCCACTTTCTCTAAGAGGAAGCAGCTGCTAACAGAAGCAGTTGCTAATTCTAGCCATAATGTGAGATCCTTAGGATGGGATAGGGCAAAAGTTTCTTCAACCAAATCATAAGTGCACTGGATTCCCAGACTGCTGAGGCCTAGAGCGTTCGTTATTGATTTGTAAATTTCAGCAGAAACTGTTGGCTGTTCCCAAATGTTTCTCTTCTTCTGTAGTAATAAACTTCCCGTTTTAGATGAGCATTTGGTTGCTCAAAATACACAATATATTTGTCAGCTTCTCTTGCATCCAGTTGTGAACATGCAACTGAGATCCAGACAATAGGATCTAAATGGAAATGTCACATGACAGCTTTTGGGAAGGTATCTTAAGAGTCAGATGACGTGCATCCTTTGCCCATTTCTTTTTTGTCTATTCCTCCATCTTGCTGCCTGGAACACTGATGTGATGTCTGGAGTTTGACTCACTATACTGGACCACTAGGACAAAGGTCATGCCCTAAGAACAGCAGAATAGAGGCTTATAGAGAGCTTGGTCCCTGAAAACCTCATGAAGCAGAGTTGGCACTTTGCCTTCTAACAGTTATTAATGTGAGAGAGAAATTATCCATCATGGGAAGTCACTGTTACTGTAGGTCTTTAAATACTCACAGCTATTCCTGATCCTAACTAATGCAGATAGGGTCCAAGAGTTAGTGTGTGAAGGGTTTTTCTTGTTTTTCTTTTTCTCAGTATTATGCATAATTCTGATGCTTGGGCAGGTTTGATCATCTGGTCTCATTAAATAGGATTTCTTGCTTTAAGTAAAAATTTTTTTTCCAGTGTGATGTGTTTTTTAACTCCATATCGAATTGCTCATATATTTTTATGTTATGTTTCACATTTAATTGTGGTAGGCAATTCATGGAGACACCAGTAAGAACCTGAGAAAAGGAGTTTAAATCAACATTTAGTAGGAAACAGTTTCACAGCCTACTTAAACCTCAAATTGACTCCTACTTACTTAGAGATAAAAACACAAAAGAAAGTATGTGTTATCAGAAGAAAAGGTGGTCAACAATGGCACAAAGGAAAAGAAGAGCAGTTTGAGAAGCAATATCTCTCTCAGTACTGACCAAAGCAGAGGTGCTGAATCTGGAGTCCACCAATCTTCTGCTCAATAGATCAGAGATCTCCAAAGTGGGGTGCCCCTAACCATAGCAGTGTGAAAAAAGATCCACACAGGTGCAGACAGAAAATATTTCGAATTGCTACTACCACCTATTTTTGTCTAAAAAAGAGGAAATTAATACTTCATGTACGTATGGATACTGTTGTCCTCACCAGGTTGCATCTCAAACAGCCATATGTCAGGAATGAAGTTCCCGAGGGAAGAGGGTGAGTTCCACAATGCGTAGAGGGTGACAGTGGCACTCTCCCTCTTTCATTTGCTTTCAGCATATTGCGAAATATTGCAAATTATGTAGGCTGGGGTAAGCAGATATTTAGATGAAAAGATTTAATTTAATTTAATTTAATATTTAATTTAGTTTAACTAAACTTCACAAAAGACTTTTTGAAAGAAAGTACCTTTAAAAAGATTCC